CATTTAGAGGAAAAAAAAGCTAATTAGAAAAAAGGAAAATTAATCGAAAAATGGTACTAATTTATTTAAGAGAACATCAAAAATCGATAAACTAATATTGATGATAATGATGCTTAGTTATTTTTGGTAACAGGTACTAATTGAAAAAAAAATACGCTACTTAACCTACTAAAAAGTTAAATTAATGGAGAAAATGTACTTATTCGTTACGGGATACCGCAAAAGGTCACCATAATATTAATGATACCAACACTGCATTTTTATAATAGATTTCTTAATGCCCTCCGAAGAAGTACAGGAGAAAGTAGCTTAATTGTGATAAGTTTTCAATATCATGAGTTGCCTTGAGAAACAGCGTTATGTCAGATAATAGTGAATAATGCAGCTAGCCTTTATTCTGCTGAAATTGTTAAAAATGTGTTTTGATTAATCTAATAACGTAAATCCATGGAGAAGGGCTACAAATAATCTATACATATAATGAAATAAAGATTTTCCGTGTCAGACTCTGTGCAAACCGGATTGTTGGTATACCATAAGCTCTAAGAATGTGAAATTCAAAATGAATCTAAATGCGTAAAATTGAAACAAATAAAGAAGCCCGATTTTTAATTTTTTAATTACATTTTAAATTCAGAGATATTTAAAAAAATGGAATTTTCTCATTCACTTAGCTGAAGCCTGTGTTTTAAAATAAGCTATGGACAATTCGGTTTTTCAAATATTTTAAAGATATTATCAGTTATGCTTGATATGCTATATTTTTTATCAAAAAATATATAATTTGAGCTTTCTGTTACACTTAATTATAATTTATTTGCTATTCAAGGTTATCTAAATGATTAACATAATTGTGGTAGCATAAGCAAACTACATTAGCAAATGTATATATTTGGAGGGTTATTTGAAACCATCGAGTTTGCTTTTAAAAAGTATTTTTAGAAAATTAACTTAACTATTTAAACTTAATTATTTAAAATCGACGGTAATTGAAACAAAAAAAAGTTTCTTACTGAAAAGCAAAATTTATGGAGAAATAGAACTATTTCGTTATCAGGTATCGTAAAAAGCGCCATACTAGTGTTGACACCAATCATGCATAATTTTGTTTATGAGCACTATATCATGGTAACTGGGGCAGTTTTAATAGGCCCCAGGGGGCCCCAGATATGCTCTATAGGGTTGAGGTCTGGAGATCTGGCTGGCCAATCCATCCGGCGAATATCATCACTCTCTAGAAAATCGTCGGCCAGAAGAGCTCTATTATGCCTCCCGTTATTGTTCCTTAATAATGAACTCAAGGCCAACTGCACCCCTGAAATAGCAAACTTAGGGCTCCAAGACCTCTCTATACCTCACACCAATAAGAGAGCCTCTTTCAAAGACATGGAGAGGTGTGCGGCCATCCAACATGGTGCCTGCCCAGACCATTAAGCATGCCGTCCGGACCATTAAACCTGGGTTCCTGGTTCTCTCCATATGAACATACGGCGAGAATGGTGTTTAGGCAGAACCGGGACGATGAAGAGAACGGTTGCCCATTGATCCATACTCCAATCTCTATGCTCTCTGCACCATACTGAACGGACTCTCCTGTTCATAGAAGTGAATGGGACGCAAGCAGCAGGTCTTCTTGCAAACAACCCTCTCATGATGACGTTTGGAAGCAACCACACTTGATACATGGGTTCCTGTGGCTGCATACAAGTCACGAGAGAGCTGAGAAGCTGTAGCCCCTCTGTTACGCCTTGCTAAAATGGACAAATGGTGATTTTCTCTGGATGTCGTGCCTCTTAGACGACCTTCCTCAGGCTTTCTTTCAATGGATTCGGTATCCTGAAAATGTTTCAATAAGTTCCACATGACGCTGGGCGTTAAATTGAACTCTCTACAAATCTGGACTTGAGATTGGCATACTTCTAGCCTCCCCATCGCCACCTCATTCCACCATCTAAACGTTGGTGGTTACCATTTCTACTGTTACAATTTGAATTATACTATTGCTGCAAAATAACACCAAGAAATTCGCAGCGGTGTGCTAGCGAACGAAATGCGTCTTAACTTACGCGCACTTATTAAGCCGGTTTCCCTATGGCTTAACCTACACACACGTGTACGCTTACGCATTTGATGTAAAGATTTGCATTTTTGTCAAGAAGCAGTTCTTTTTCATGAAATTCGATAAAATATGCAAATTCGTTTATTTTTTTCACCAGTTTATATAAATATTTCACATAGCTGTCAGAATTTTCAAAAACACTATCTTAATTAAAAAAATATTTTTTGAAAATAATAAGAACAAACATAAAATATAGAAATACAGTTCCATATCGTATCGAAAAGGCTGCAACAGTAAATGAGTCATTCTGTTAGAAATATTAATAAAATTAGAAATCTTATTTAACTGTTAATAATGTGTTAGAAATACATATTTAATGCTAGAAAATGGTTAATCATTATTGTTTAAATTTAAAACTTTAGCAATAGTTGAGTATACCACCCATATGTGAAGCATTTATTAACACGAAAAAAAATATTTTCAAACTATTTTATGCCATTCACTATTTTATGCTAATTAATTTCATTGAATTCGGAGTATAAAAAACAACAAATTTGTTTTTACATTTTCGAAAATAACGCTACAGACAGATCACAATCAGTCTCAATAAAATTCCGATAAAGAAATTAAATAAAATCTGGTATCAAGAAATATGTTCAACGATAGGCAATTCTTTAAGAAAAGTGTTCAATTCGTTCCATTGAAACCAAATAACCTTTAGATTGAATTTACGAACTCACAAATGACAACTGGTTCAAAGGTTTCAGTGCATGTTAGCAGCGCTAGAGTTTGTAAAGCACCTTAAGTTACGATCTAGTTCATCCTTGCTCCAGAATAATAGAACTGATTAAAACATTGCGATCGTTAAATTTGGCAACAGGTTCAAATTTTGAGTGAGGTTTAACGCGTTTAAACCTGAACACGTCAGGAATACAAACTGACCTATTATTATTGAGTACAAAATAAATTTTCATTTTAAACATATCCCATTCTAATAGAAAATTAGAAAAAAAATAGTATTTAATCTATCTTTTGTAGAATTCAAGCCCCAGTTCTTCGAATCTAAACTTTGCTGTTCTATCTCGCTCATTACTTATTAAAACCTATCTTGCTTAGTAGCACTCTATTTATTTGTTATTGCCATAATTAAAAGCTTTGTCTCAACAGCAGTCGTTGTATCTGAATAAATAATAGTTAGTATAGTTAAAGTAATACTTATACTAGGAAGAACAGCTTTTCAACAATGCTTCTACGTTTTAATTGCATGGAAGTTTTTCCAAGCTTAACCATTTTACATTTTAGGTCAAATTCTAATTACAAAATTGAAAAATATGTATTTAACAGATCTTTTTTTTCCTTTTTGTGTAACTCAACTTATAACCCTTAATTTAAAAGCATTGTTATCTCTCTTCTCTCTTGTTTATTATTATTTTAAGAATAAGTTATAAGTTTTTGTTATTGTTATAATTAAAAAATAATCTCTCAAATACAACAATTTGTAATTAATTTAAGTAACGAAACAATTGCTTGTAACAATTTGTAACTAAATTAAGCTCATATAAGTAACGTAGTTCAGCCTATTCCTCTTATATTTCTGAGAAAATCGAAAAATTATAACTAAATTAAATTATCATGCAAAATTAAAAAATTCGCATTGAATGGTTTTTTTTCCTTACAATTTTTTTTTGTAAAACTACTGCTAGCTTTGAATATGCAAAATGTTATTGTTTAAGGGAATAAAAAAATTTCCGATTACTTTCTTACCTGTAATGGTCCTTGTCGCTGAGTGGTAGCGCTTCGGGCTTTTTTGTGTCACAGGTCCTGTGTTCGATCCTCGCGCTGGGCAAGGTTGACTCAGCCTTTCATCCTTTCAGTGGGTCAAAAAAATGAGTACCAAGCATACTTGGGTATTCTTGGGTATACATGAGTACCAAGCATACCTGCGCCCCAGACCCTAAAGTCAAGAAAACTGAGATGGGCACAGTAGGTTTTGGCCCACTATGGGCTGTCGTGCCACTGAGTTAATTAAGTAATTTGAGTTGAGTGTTTTCTTACAATTTGATTTTTCCTTCGTATATTATCTATAAACAAGGCCTCTATAATCTGTGAGTTAATTATATGCTTCGATTATGAACAAATGAATCCAGGTTCAAACTCTTCTGATTTCCCGTACTAGAAGGGAATTTTAAATTATCACAAACTGATCTGTGGAAAGTTCCGATTATACTTTAATCTTGCCCATGAGCATGCGCAAAGGAAATTAACAGTGTAAGCAGTGTGGCTTAACAAGACATCAAGTCGTTGAGTACCAGTGGTCTTCTTCTTTTCGTGTTGAGAGTAATTAATTTTCTGTGTTTTCTCCCATTTTCTGTCTGAGTAATAACTTTCCTAAAATATTATTAATGAATGTTCTTTTTGAATTAACGATAAATAATTTTTCACATTTTTGGTTTAATCAAAATAATAAAATCTGATTTGACCGATATGAATATTTCAAAACGTATTTTTGTGATGAAATTTTCGTTTTTTAAAAGGAAACTTCATAATTTTGGATAAAAGTAAATAAAAAAAAAATGAAATTAAAAAAAAAACGTTATCGCAGGTGATTGATCTTAGATCCTAGATCTTAGATCATACTTGATCTTAGATCCTATTTTGTAACTGCATTCAGCAGAATAATGACATGAAATTTTAAATGATAATAATAATTAATATTAATTTTAAAATAGTAAGAAATCTTCTTAAGCTCACTAAAAGTTCAACAGTACATAATTCTCTAAATATTTTTATTAAAGATGTGTTTCTAACCTCTAAAAACGAAATTTCAGCCACTGTTTTTAGTATAAAATATGTCACTGTTATTTGTTTACTCCAAACGTTTATATTTTTCCTCAATTAATTAGTAATGAGGAAAATTGCGGAATATGCCCAAGTAGATGAATTTTCTATGAATTTAAACCATAGAAGTACATAATATCAGTTTCGCACAGAGAGCTGCAGAAAGTTTTTTCTTTCTTTTAATGTTTCAAAATGGTAGAAAACAACAATGAAAAAGAGGAATATGGCAACCGAGTAAGAGATTTTTATAAAGGAAAATCAATTTTTATAACTGGAGCGAGTGGATTTCTTGGAACGGTAAATGTGGTTTCAATTTACTTTTTTGAAAAGTGGGACATGATTATTTTCGCAGAGAACTTGCTTATAGGCAACAAATGTATAAGACTATTATAAATGTATAAGACTTATTACTAATTTGGTTCAATTATTTTTAATTAGCCTGTTATTATTAATTTGGATAACTCTTAAAAAATCGAAATATTTCGGATTTTTGGTTCTTGTTTCCTTTTTGTGCTTAAATGCAAGCGTTATTTTTTTTTTTTAGAAAATATCATTGTACAGTATCATTGTAAATATCATTGATGCTTGAGTTTAAAAAAAATTATTTTAAGAAATGATTATAGTCTGAAATAATAACTTGTTAAATACGTTTTTTTATCAGTTCTTTTATATGACATTGTTAGTTTGTCTTATGATGCAATATACTAAATTTCAGTACCCATCCTATAAATGGGGCCGTATAAAATTAGAGTTTGTTCAAATGTCTGTATAAAAATAGTTGGTTAAATACTTTTCTTATTAATTATTTTATATGATACAGTCAGTTTACCTCTTAATGCAATATACTGAAACTAAGCACTTATACGTTAAAGGGGGTCACGTAAAGTTAGAATTTATTAATACATTTGTATAAAAAAAGTTTGTTAGATACGTTTTTTCATTAGTTATTATGATATTGTTAGTTTACCTTATAATGCAAAAGTGTAAAAATTTTAGTGACTCAAGTGATACTTAATTAGTTGTGGTAATGGGTACGTAACTACTAATTGTATTGTTGTTACTGGTACTAGGTGTCATTGCAGTAGGTGCGTAATATAATAATACAGATTCATAATATTTGTGCTTTCTATAGATACTGTAAAAGTAGGTTTTTACAGTCTTGTTTTGGGGATAAGTACTAAAATTGTCTGCATTGTACCTGTTGATCCAAAGTTTAAAATATAATATATTTTTCAGTCATTTTAATAATTGTTAATCAATTTAGATTTGTTTTAGTTGTAAATGAATCAAAATTTATCTTTCAGGTGTTGTTAGAAATATTACTCAGATGTCTTCCAGATGTCTCAAAAATCTATTTATTATTAAGATCAAAAAAGGATACCTCTCCAGAAGAAAGAAAACGGCTTATATTTAAGAAAAAGGTAAACAATTTAGGAAAATTGTTAAACTTTACTGAAGATGTACTATTCATGTTACTTAAAATTTAGGTTAAATCTAATGTTTATTTTTATAATATTTTTTCATAATCAGTAAAATCTGAGTTCAACTATATTGCAATGTTTAACATTAGCTACACTCATTACATGAAGAAAGTTATTGAAAATACTGTGACTATTTATCTAAAGGGTAACTTTTTGGTGCACTGTTAGAAATTTCTCGGACAAAAATGGTTAAATAACAATTTATTTAATTGTTATTTTACCATATTCAAGCAGAACAGTCGAACAACCTTAAATAAAATGATATGCAAACTGCTAATTGTGAGAAAAACAGTCTATTAACTGCCTTCAGTTAATGCAATTAAACAACCAGAATTTTATCACACTAATTGGGTCCCCTTATGAAGGCATTCAGTTCCTTTCAACTGTGTTCATAATATAGCCGAAAGGGCTGAACTGTCAATCTCATGACCGACAAAACGGTAGGTTGAGTCACAGCGTTGACGGAAAAATATTTTCATCATTCCCTTTACCACATGAAGAGCTTCCACTGTCTTGCACTCTTCGATTTGTAACCCTGCACTATTAGAGTACGGTATTCTAATCTACGCATAGATGACAGCACCATAAAGCTGCTTAAAACAAAAAAATTCTAGTATTTCCCATCTTTTACGATAAGTGAAACAACCAGATAAACCACATTTCACGGTTTATTTGATAAAAAACAACTCAACCACAACCTAACTCCAATACTCTGTACCTAATAAAAAGCCTAACTCTAATGTCCAGATAAATTTTTTTACGGTTTTGAAACCACGTTAGTTCAAAAATCGTACAGTTTTGTATTCGTGTTTTTTTTACCTACTAGTTGTAAACGGTTTCAAAACCGTAAAAGTAAAAAAAATATTCTTTACTGTAAGATTTACGGTTTATTGGATGGACAGACTGCTGCCGGTTATGTAACCGTAATTTTGGAATGACAATTTTAACAGTGTACACAGCATATGACAAATATTTAAGTGCATATTTTTTTTATCAAACATAAAATAGGTTTTAAATGTACAGCAAGTTTAAATAAAAAAATTAATTTGCGTACAAATGAATTAAAATTGATAGTATGTGTAAAAGGTTTAGGGTAATCAAACAAAATTATGAATCATTTAGGTTTTTCCATTGACACCTTAAATGGCACTTACGAAGAACTGCGTAGAATTTTGATTTAGTTTTTACAATTTTGATTTAGTTTTAGTTAGTCTTAAACAATGTATACCGGGAAATGTTTGATAAGTCTACAAAACGTTCTTCAAATAATTGAAAACTGTCTGTGGCAAAATTAGCCAGTGGATGGAGAAATGGCTCAACACCGATTATGTTGGAGATTGTCTTAAAGGTTGCGGATGGAAACTTCAAGGAAAAAAATTTGGAAACTTAAAGTTTGTCCTCTTCCTGAACTAGTTTAGTTTTAGCCGCCATTTTTAACTTAATGAAGGTCAGACGGTTGAAAAACTTAACTTGAGTCAGAAGAGCTAATAGTTCAAATGTTAAAAACAATTTTACGCAGAAGAAATTAATTTTTATACTAATACATATTTAAGCGTCTGACATTGCTTGATAGACAAGGAAATTATTGAAACTCGCGTATTGTCTTAAGCAGAATTAATTAAATTCAAAACCATGTCAATGAAACCAATCATTTTGAAGTTAAGAGAGTTTCATGAGCGTGATTTATGATTTTTGGGCTTATACTATTTTATGTATTAAAATCTTATAAATTTTCGAAACAATTTGTTTCATCAATTTATTTTAGTTTGTATTAGGTTTATTTAAAAAATACAGAAAAAAATGTACCGCTTGTCTAGATAGCAATAGAAGTACGTACTTTCGACAACAATAGCAACTTGTCTTGATAGAAATCAGACGTCATTGAAACTTTCGAAACTCGTACAGCTTCTAAACTATTTACCTTTTAGACTTGAATTTGTTCTTATTCAGTTTAGTGTAAAAAATACAAAAAATACAAAAAAAAAATTGCACTTTGCTTCTGTAAATAGCAATGTCAGATGTCTATATAGATATAAGTACAAAAATGTACTTTTTATTAGTCTTATTGATATCTTTCATTTTATCGCAAAAGTACAAAAGAAATAATGCTTCATTTATGTAGGTAAGAATTTCAGACGTGTAAGTAGTACATCTACTTGTTCTCTTCAACAAAATTGTTCTCTTCCTACTTACTAAATCCCCTATATCCTTTGAACTAATAGTTCTATCGACTTGGTATTGGTGTCATTTGATTCAGAATAAAAAGATACTTATGAAAACTATACTTCACTTGTCTAGATAATAATGTTTGAGCTTTACTACATTTTGACCTTCTCTGCCGCTTAGTGCATTCAAAATAGCGGCTAAAGCTCACATTGAGGGAGAGGGCAAACTTCAGGTATCTATATTGTGCTCAAAACAAAACTTTTAAAACAGTTTTCAGCTTCTAACAAATTATTTCCATGTTCAAATCCTTAGGAACTGGTATTGTTCTTAAACTAGCTGTTCAAAAAGAAATTGGTACCTCAGTGGATTGATCGTTAAGACACGGTTCTCAACAGAACACCAAAGTCAAGCATTATTGTCTGTAGTCAGTGGGCATGTAGGTGATCACTTTGATCAGTCTGCAAAGGAACCGAGGGTGTGCGGTATCGGTCCTTGTTAAGCGGTTCTACCATGAAGTGCTCAATTTTACGCGCAGTCGTCGGGCTACCGAAGCAGAGGAGCCATTCCCTTTGCGGAGGATCAAAATTGCGATGGCATGTCTTTGAATCATCATCAGGGATGTAAGGCCACCCGTAGCCCATTGTGCAGACCTAATACGACGTTAACCAATAACAATAACAAATGAAAAGAAATTGCAATAATTAATAAATTTTTATTAATTACTTAAATATGGACTATTTATTCAGGGTAAAATAATGTAAATGCCTATCTTTCCCTGCACAAAAGTGATGTATTTTAATCCGCTTTCGTTTGCTTGTGCAATTGGTTTAATATAGATTTTAATACTTCTGTTATTATCGGTTTTAATATTCAAATAAAATATATGAATCATAAGACATAGGTACTGATACCGTAGCAAATTATTTCACGTTTTTATTACTCTTCATTAGGGCATAGTAGTTTAAGTTTTCTCTTGATAAAGTTAAGGTTTTAATAAGGAGATGTAATACAGTCTAAAATAAATCAGATCAATTTTAAGCCATTTCACCATGCAAGTCGGAAATCTCAATAAGCTGTTAAATTAAATCATGCTTCCAATCAATTTTAAGAGCAGGTCCGTGTCATCGATTTTAAAACAGATTATTTTTTACGACTATGTGGATAACATTGCCGCTGGATTAAATTTACAGCAAATTTACTCTATATTATACAACCAACACGCTCCAGAATTTCTTAGAATATAGAATATGGATCGTCAAAAAAACTATTTTATTTACAAAACAAACTTTTTAGATTTTCAGAATATTGCTGAAAGAAAATCCCGATGTGGTAAATAAAGTGAAAGTGGTACCCGGTGATATTCAAGAATCAAATTTAGGTATGTGTGACGAAGACTTGAAAAATGTCATTCAAGAGGTTACAATTATTTTCCATGTTGCTGCGGTTATCAGTTTCTTCAAACCCTTAAGGTAGGAATAAATGTGAAACTTAATACCTTTATTTATAATATTTTTGTAATAATATATATTTTTTAAAAAAACTACGTTTTTCAAATGAATTGAAAAGGAGAAAAAAATTCTATTTTTGTCATTATATAAAAAAAAATATTGTGGTGTTTTAGTTAATAAAAATGGGTGGTTATTAAATTTTTATTTTTACGAAAGAGTTACACTCTACGTTGGTTGAACAAAAGAAAAGAAGTCCTTTTCAGTATATTTGAAGAAAATTTAGTTTTTAAAAAATTTCATTTCAGTTTTTTCTTTTCAGTTTTGTGTCTCTTAGTTTGCTTCTGCCGCGAAATAGTTGAAATTTTGATTGGTGATAAATATCGTGATAAATTCCGCTTTTAGTGATCAGGAAACAATTTAACTTATGCTTTCACACAGCACAGTGCTCCTGGAAATATTTGACCATTTTACCAAACCGAAAGTGGTTGAAATCCTCTTTATTGCCAAAAATAATATTTTTTCTTGTCTTCATATAATTAGAAATTACAATGCACATAAATTTTTTTTGCATGATCTTAGGGCGTCTGTAAATGCTGATGTGAATGATCGGTGAAGGATAAAGTTCATGTGAATTATCCATAAATGCAAGCAATAATCCGTTTTATTTTAAATTTTTACATATCATAGTAAAATGTACATTTGAGAACATGAAATATATTTTTCAGAAAAATATAGAACTTTAATTTAGCTAATAAAATTTTTTCAACGCAATGATCGTCGATTCAAAATATGCTAACACTGCTGATTTTAGAAAACGCCATTTAAAGTACTGTTTGTCTATGTAATGTAATGCAATAAATTCAGCAATCTTACGTAAAAGAGTCTGGAGCTATTTGCAGTAATGGTAACAAAGAAAATGATTTTCAAAGAGGATTATCTTTTCCCCTCGAGACCCTTACCGAAATGTTTATCCTCCACACCAACTTGAAATAGTCTAGCCTCGTTACCATAGTCACCGACAGGACTTTAAGAAACCAAAGAGAGGAGTTCTTTAGCTGGACAGATAGTATACAATAATTTGTTTTGTCATAACATCCAAAGCTCTGCATTTTAGTTCTATAAATTTAAAGAGTATTTTTGAAAGAATGTTCTGAAAAAAACCTTTTTCAGAATTAAGTTGGGAATTATTATTATTTTTAAATGCTCTCAGTAGTCTTTCATTTTAATATAGAACTATATTTTAGATACTCAGTAATCAACAACTGCTTGGGAACATGGAATGTAATTGAACTAGCTAGAAAACTTCAAAAGCTTGACGTAAGTAAAGATTGTAGTTTTGATGATATTGAGATGTCACTGTATTTTGAAGACATAATATATATATATATGGGTCATTCTCACAAAAAAAGTCATTTTCATGTCCCCAGTATATTTTATGTTTGTTTTACAACTTACGAAAAAAATTTTTTCAGGGAAAGTGTCCTTCAGAATACAAGCTAACAAAAGAATAAAAATAAAATTATCAATTTTTATTTTTTATTAATTTTAGGTAATAAAAATATACCAATATGTCATTCCCTCACTTGTCCCCACTGCTGATTTAAAAAAAGAAACAAATTGTTTCTGAAATAAAATTTTTTTTTTTACAAATTTGCGTTTTTTATTTGAGAATATTGAAATATAGAATTCAGAAAATAAATTTTAAATTTAATTTCTGATAAAAATATTAACACAGCACTATTTTAAACTTTGTCCCCAGTGTTTCGCGTCATTCCCTCACAACAATGTTCTTATCACCTGCAATCTTCTTAGAATAAAAATATTTTAATAAAAACTTCAGAAGTTAACAACTGGCATCATAGAACAAAATTGCAGTATGTTTCCATCTTCAA